CAAGAAAATCGCGAGTAATTTGTAGAATTTTTCGCTACAGTGGATGAAGATGGGAAAAGAACCGACAGACGATATCTAATTACAGTTTAAAGAAGTATTGTTCTGTTATTAACGTGAAAAGATAATGAAATTAATGCGTATGTTCAGCAGAGTTCAGTTCCCTCTGATCATTCGAATTATAAAGATTACAGTCACAACTACAATGTGTGTCGTAACTACTGCCTAAGGTTATACTTTCTCGAACGGTGTTTTTTTCGATTGATTCGCACAAATAAAGTAACAACGATCGCAGTTACTGTGCTCGTGATTAACAATGTGCGTTAATAGTACCGCACCTGCGTTTACTTATGTACGCGTTTCCCGATATATCTTATATTGTCATTACGTTGGTACGGGCAAATATTTGATCGCGATACACTCGGACGAAAGCAAACGCCTCCAGCTATTATGGCAGTGTAATAATCGGGCGCGTAAACCTGCAGGTAGCCGTGCGTTTATATTATATATTACGCTACATTACATTAAGCATGTTGTATGCGTACAACGCGCCCACCGCTGATAAGCGCGCGGACTCGTGCAGGTTCACGTAAATCGCGGGGACCCCGCCAGCGATACGTCGTGCATGGGGGCGCATTAATACGCACGTGCTTGCCGTGCGTGCGCTTTGGCAGTTGCATCGAAGATAGCCGGGGCTATTCGTTGTCGGTGATCAAGCTGCGCACGAATCCAAGAAAAGCAGGGAATTCATCTGTATCTTCGATCAAACACTGTTAGTCCCTTGACTAACGAATCAAAATTACTACACTGTTGAATATCAAAGGAGTAATGGCAACCCAATCCCTTGAGTTAAATAACATTTGTTATTTTTATCTTTCAAAATGTAAATAATTTCTGTAATTAGTTTCAAAGTAAACAACGTCGATATTAACGCATGCACTTGGTAAATAATAGATTAAATTTGAGTCAAATTTAATACATTTTCTTAAGTTTAATTGTTTAACTCTGTTTTAGTTAAATTAACGACATATTGAGTGACGACTTATAAAAATGATTAAAAATATCTCAAATTGTGTGGGTAGAATTTGACTTATGAGAATTTATCACTGTAAAGTCTTCCCCGTTGGATCCTAATATATATCCAGGTATTAGACAGCTTTTCTTATCGATATTTTGAACTTTTTTAACGTTCTGTAAATATGTTTCTTTCGCCAATTAGTATTCTTCTGGTTTTAATAGAAAAATTTTGGCACGTCACGCGGGGATCATGGCACAAAGGACCCAATTATTTCGGCATACTTTTCCCGGGAGTGAGTTTTTTTTTTGTACGAAATTGATGAAGATTTTTATGTCCGCGTTGTGCCGCATATAAATCATATTAAAATGTATTAATCGACGTTGCGAGCAAGGCAAAAATAAACACGTAGCGTATGTACATGGGTTATGTGCCGTATTAAAACTGTAGGTTTTACATCCGCGCTGTGGGTGATTTATGCGCGTTGCAACGGCTCTCTCGTTGTGTGCTCATCGATGCAGGCTTCGCGATTTCAGATCCCGGGTTCTCCGGTGCAGAAAAAAGCGCGAGATGAGGGCTCGGGTCATGGGTCGCCGCTAGGCTCTCCACGGGCTTTTCCCGGATCCGCGAATTTTACCATTCGTAATGTTCGTTTCAGTTCATTTACGAATCCCGGTTTACATTTATCGCAAAATCCTGATTACGCATTAATCAACGCAAAAAAGTTAGCTCTATTAACTTAGCGTTTATGTTTCGCGTTTTTACTTCCTTTACGCGGATGAATCGTCCGATTTTTTTTCTTTTCGGAACGATGGCCCTGAACGATAATCGCTCCCGGCATTCACCTCCCGTCTCCCATTTTTCTCGCCGACTCTGATTTTCTCGTTGACTTGATAATTACTCTCCTCGAAGCGCGTCTAAGACGAGGCGCGCGCAAAGCGCACTCGATTTTCCCGGGGCGGGTATAACATTATGCAATTTTATGCGGAAACTTCGAGAGACGCAAAGGCGAGGCTCGCTTGCAAGACTATGGTAATGGTGTGGGTTCGTTAGCGCCACGATTGTCGGACACATTGGCGCTCGTTTATACGGATGTTCGAAATTCGAATTGCGAATTCATGTCCTGGTAGAAGTACCTGTCAGTGGGGCTACAAGACTCTTCCTTTGCTCGCGCTTTCCATTTGTTATTATTATGACTTCACAGCTTAACGCTCTCGTCACGAAACACCTTTTATTATTATTTTTATAGTTATGATCGCATCACTTGAATGCTTTCCTTTAAGGTGCGAAGTAAATTAGATTAATTTATCATAATAAAATTAGTTTTTTTTTTGTTAAAATATACGATGAAATAAATATACGATGTAAATATACGATATAAAAATGTATGATAGAATCACTCACAGAAGTGATTTCCAGGTCCAGCATAGTGATGTCCCTTATAAGCTGCGAACAGTCCGGGATTGATACCAATCTGTAAAGTAAGACAAATATACTTGGTTAGAATTTTTGAAACATTTCTAGACATCATTTTACAGTACTAATAATAAAGTCTGAACACAAATCGCGAATATATGATTGCATACGCGTTCGCGCCAGCTGCAGACATGATTGTTCTATATTGTTATTTTAATTAGCCACATTGATAATACAAAAACAAACGGGTGTTCTTAAGTCTCTTGCGTCGACGTCGCTATATTTGTTCCGCTTTGACTCCTCAGGTCCTCCCTTCCCTCCCCTCTCGTCTAGAAATTATTACTCATACTTATTTCCAACTTATTTCCGTGTTTCGAAACGGTGAAATTATTGTCTCTCCATATCTTTGACTTTTCGCCGAGTTTTTCCAGACGAGGAAAAACGCCGAGGAGAGACGAGTCGCTTGCGTCACGCGTTGTTGCCGACGTAATTAATTTCGCTTTCTACCGATTGTCAAAGCTAAGTCCGAGACTTTGGAGAAAAACGTTCATTTACAAACTACCGATATTTCTCTCGTTTAACACGTAGGGTGTTACAACAAAATGCACGCGTAAACGGGAATGAGAATCGATTGTAAATCTATATACTGTTAATTAAAGCAGACCGTGGCGTGATTGATTATGTATATAAATGCAATATGATGAAAACTAATGGCAAATTATGTTGATGGTTCGAATTTAATGAAAGCATATGATGAATAAAACTTTATCGAATTTGTACGCATGTCTTTGAAAAATAATATTTTTAACGGTAGAAAATGTGCCGTCCGATCGTGATTATAAATAAAAAAGAAAAAATATATAATAAAATCAGGCATATATTATGGAAATATGGTTTGAATGTTCTACATGCATAATGTTTAATTTAGCTCCCAAAGCTTCCAAAAAAGCACGCTCGACGAGAAATTGCGTGCGTCCATATTATATGCGACAAAATTAATTTCACCATTACGAGGGTAATACCTACTTCAATGGAGTGTTTTTCATCTGCAAAATATAATACAAAATTCCAAGCTGCTTATCTTTCGTCTAGCTTGCTTCAGCAATTCTTTTATTCAGTTGTGAAAGATATTTATTAAACACAATTAAAAACTAGTGTATTATTAATATGTTTTCTTCGTCGATGAATAGGAACGGGACAAATACTTTGCATCTCAGCGCAATTCTACTGTAAGATCTCATCTATCGTCACCTACTTTCAATACTCTTTCCAATTTTACTCGATTTCCTATGAATATAACCGCGTTAGTAGATTACATTGGAACAATGAATTCTTTTTCAAAATGAAAAATGGGATAATTGAAACCTTTGAACATATGGAACAAAGCGATGATTCTCTGATGTTAAAATTAACAAATCTTTTTCAATGATTTTCCGAGCATAGAACGAATACTTTCCAATGATTTTGTGATAATATTTAATATCATTAAAAAATGGATGCATAATGTAATAATTCCGTTTTGCTTGACTTTATTAAATAATATTAGCGGTTATTTTAATTCATCCACGCTTAGTTAATTCCCTAGGTTTTCTTTAGTAAAAGGGCTTTTTCGTTTCGTGCCGTTTTTCGCGTAAACTGAATTATTATAATTAATTAAACTTAATCTCTCACGCGCGCACGGCGATACGATGCACTTCCGTACGTATTCCAGTGTCTCTAAATTGAGGAGGAGAAAGAGGGAAGAGAGGGGATCGATTTCTTTCCCCGTTTCGCGTACGACTTCACGTGCGCGCTTCTTACTCGCGATTATGCAACGGCGCGGCGGGAGGGAGGAGGCGGAGGAGGAGGCGCAGGTGCGGCGTTGGTACCTGTTGCACAACCGCATTATCTTCGCTCCTCGCTCCGCCGGTTAGGTAATTAATAACGACAAAGTCCAAGGATACGTGATGTGCGCGGCCGCGCGAGCACCATTAGGCGCGCATCTCGCGCGCTATTAAACCTTCCTCCTTCCTCTTCTCCTCGTCGATGTACTCCCGCGCGATCTCTCTCTCTCTCTCCCCCTCCCTCCCTGTCTCTCTCTTTCTTGACTTGCAACTGACCTTTTCGCAAGTGCAAGGTGCGCGCGAGAGGGCTGTACCGCCGCCGGGGAATCTCGTGTCGTAACTTATCGACGTTTATCTCGCGCCTAGCCACGGCGACCCGACGTCCGCCGTCGTCGTCGGTAAATAGAGATTAACATTCACCACGCAACGGGACGGCCGTATACTCCTCGGGATAATTGCATGACAAAGTGCACGTCCGCAGAGCTCACGTGTGTGCACGTGCGCGTACATGTATGTGTGCGCGTGCGTTCCATTAAGAATCGCGACGCGTCCGTGAGGCACGGGAAAGGATCGGCGGTTGATTAGTTTGAATTCTTCTGTTCTCGCCTCTGTTTAGCGCTGCATTGAAGCCCTCGAGGATGTTTATTATGAATTGTACCTTGTGTAACATCGCGCTTGTTAAGGTAATTAAATGAGGATCGAAACGGACGCGATGCATATTGAAAGAATTTCTGTATTCTAATTTTAGCGATTTGGAAATCGATATAATCTGACTTTCCTTCTACGTGCGTCGTTAAATATCAAAAGAGCAATGGTAACCCAATCTCTTGAGTTAAATAACATTTTGTTATTTTTAACTTCCATGCATGCGTGAAAATGTAAATCAATCCATTTCTGTGGTCAGTTTCAAAGTAAACAACGTCCATATTAATATATGTACTTAGTAAATAATAAACTAAATATTCGAGTCAAATTTAATACATTTTCTTGAGTTTAATTGTTTAACTCCATTATTCTAGTTAAATTAACGACATATTAAATAGCAGCAGTGACCTATAGAAATAATTATAAATAACTCAAATTGATTATAATTTAACATTACGAACAGTATGTATTTAACGGTACATACTCCTGAAAAATGATTAGTAAAAAAATGAGCATTTTAATGCGACGTACACTTATCTATCAAATTTATATATATATAACCTAATGTGGATCACTACTGCTCCTACTAAATATATCATTATTTTTTACTAAAACGATAATTAAATTTGATACTATATCGTGTCAATTTGACATTACAGTGTCAAACTGACACCGTATAGTGTCAATTATAACCATTGTTTTAGTATAACGATATGATTGAGTAGGCGACTCACATTAAGTTAAATTTGACACTATAGATTTAACAGTGTAAAACATAAACATGATTTACAAATTTGATACTCGCTTATTTTTTAGTTGTTCTCTATATGAAGTACCTACACCTCTTTAAAGCGTGCGTGGAGTTGCGCAACACATGCTTCACGCACCTCCTGAGGAATCCCCGTGTATCTCTGCGATTCGGGTAATGCATTTCTCGATCGCACCTTCGATTCCGATGAGAGGAAGGAAGAGTGAGAGAAAGAGATAGAGCGAGATAGAGCGAGAAATGGAGAGAGAGAGAAAGCCACGGTACGACGACGTATATCGCACCGTCAAAATCGCGTTATATTAGTCGCGTACGAGCGAGTCCTGCTGTACAACCCAAACCCTCCGTGCGTATAACGTGCGTGTATGTTTGCGTGTGTCTCCGTCCCCATTCCCCGCAGCTCGCCGTCGACATAAAGTACGTATCGCATTAGCGCGTTAACGCCAATGCGTTAGCCGCTCGGCCGGCGCCGAATGGCGGCCGGGATAAACGAGGATAAAATGACGGGCGGGGGTGGCCACGAGGTGGTGGTTGGACGTGAGGAAGGGTGTGGAATTGTCACCGATTGAAAACAACGCGCGTCGCTCACGTAGGAACGGAACGCGGAGCGGAAGAGAGACGGATAGAATTGAGAGAAGAGAAGAGGGGGCGAGTAGGGAGACGGACCAGCGGAGGGAGGGAGGGGGGTGGTCGCGCTGGGGGTGCACCAGGGGGTGCATTCTATGGGGAGCAGCGAACAGTGTCCCGCTGCGTTCGATTACAACGTCGGGCGTAATAACCGAATTGCCCACGGCCCGTTAAAGCGTTTACACCGCTTGACGGATGATCGACCACGGTGACAACTCGTTTCGGGTAATATATGAATATGGACCGTGGAGCGCGTTAACAGACTCCCCGAATGAAAATGGCCGACAGCGTTCGTGCCTTATTTTACGATAAATAACGTACATGCCCTTTCTTATAGGAAGAAAGTATGAGAATGATCTGGAGTTTTTTTTCTTTCGTTCACGAGCGATGTTTTGAATGCTTGAAAAAAATCTCGCGAGTGACCTAAATTACGCGTGTTGCAAAATTGAGTTAACTCGAAAAACTCATGCATGATCGGGTTCAACGAGTTTTAGAATCTATTCAGCTTTTTGAAATTATTCTGTACCGTGAGATATACAGGAAGAACATGTATATCGTTGTAATTAAATTTTTAATATTTGTACACTAAATTAATCGACAAATTGCTTCAATAATACGCTCTCACTCATCATAATACTACATAATTGCGCGCGCTGTCAAAAATATGACAATTTCATTATTCTAAAGAGAATCGGGGTTGAATATAAATCAAGCTACGTTGCGGGGATGTTGTGATACGATGAAAATACTGAAATCGTTACGAGCCTCTCGGTTCCGTCATTTAAGTCACCCCAATTTTGATAACGACGGCCGCATATCGGATTATAACAATCACTCGTAATGACCATGATGCTCACCCGTTAAACTGTTTATACCCGTTTACACCGGTATCGGGTGATCGATCAACGCGCGGCGGGTCGTCGCGTTTGTAACGAGAACGTAATTCCCATTCTCTCGCTTGCATTCAATAAAGATCACGCTAACGCGCGGTGACGAAAATGACACGTACGTAGAATCGTCCGAAATTGTTTTCGGATTTCAACGGATCGCAATGTCGATTCTTTATCCGCCGACGAATTCAGAATAACTGACGGACAATTTGACTTATCAAGCCTGACGATACTCTTCATTTTACGAGAGCAACTCCGATTCAGTTTCATCTCTGATAATATTTTTCGTGCTGTTCAACAATTAATAACTTATTTTGTTGTTGGTTTCGTCGTGTCAAGCTTAACCTCTAATTAGGTTTAGTCTTTGCTTTAATTCTCTTCAATTTCGCGAAAAGACGAGAAGTCAACCAAGATTTAAGTTTCCCAACATTGGCGAAACTGGCCGTGTGGTCAAGCAATTTCAGAGTTGCCACAAAACTGGAAATCAGGAAAATCACGGAATTGTCAGAGAAATTGAAAACGATCAGCAAAAATCAGAGAATTTCACAAAACTTTTGGGAAAATTAAAATTTTTAGCTTTAAAAACATTTAATTACGTTCATCATACCTTTGGAATACTACTAACTTAACAATTAAAAATGCAAACAATTAGTAACATTAATAGTAATTTGTATTGCTATGTTAAATCGATTTCTCAACAAAATATTTAACGATGTCCAAATACAAGAACGAAAATACAAAAAAATTTTTTAATATTGAAAGTCGGGGAATATCATGAAATTCTACCTGGAAATCAAGGGAAAAAGTCATGGAATTTTCGGATGAGGAATTTGTGACAACCGCGAGTTTTTCTCTCCTGTTCTCTCCGCTTCTCTTTCTCTCTGTGCTGACGGAACGCAATGACCGGCGTGCCGCGTGATAACCGAATCGCACATGGATCATTAAAGCGATTAGGCCGGCTGTTGTGGAGGCGGCGATTGCCATTTGTCGTTGCCGCGTGCAGAGAATCCTCGCGTTTTCGCGCGGCGGTGACTCCAAGATGGATTCTCGCGCTGGTTAAAGCCGAGCCGAGTCGGGTTGTGCCATGCCGCACGCGCGCATATCGGATTAATTACCGTCATTCGATCAAGAACGACATCGCGGCGCATTGGTAATGCGGCATTACAAATGACACGCACGGCCGCGATATATGCCGGGCTATAAATTACGTGCCGCGGCGCGTACACGCGGTGTGTGCCGGCAGAAATGCGTGAGCCGGTGAAATTGATGTTTTTATTGTCGTTAATATTACGACGCGATTTAATGAATTATTATTGCCGTTCGGCAGTGGAACATCGCGAAATTGAAACGTCGCTTACTTAGTGCGAGACGCTCCGCGACAAACCTCGCGAATAATTCAATTTATCGATACTGGATGATCCGTTTGAAACGCGCGCGTGCTCTGTCTGGTATTCCGCGTGTATTACTATTGTTAGCTGTCTAAAGCACCTTTAATGTAAAGTTATAGCCGCGCTTATATACGTGGTATATAGAATGTTCTCCGGAAATTTACACGACTTGACAAGATGACGCAATATTGATATGTGATAGCCGTAACATAAGTCATAGGTCAGTTTAGGCCGTATTTTTACTCGATATTAATATGAATATGAAATAATTATAGAGATCCTCTCGGATCCTCTCTAATGAGAGTCTGAACTTAAGAAATCACTTTTAGTCATGTTTTAATAATTTCTGAAAGAAAGAGAAAAAGAAAGAGAAATAGATAAGAAAAAGATACAAGGATACAGAATGAGGAAGAGAAAGAAAAAGTATATGTTTGTCCTTCTCTCTCGCAGACTTTTGTTGTTAAACTATTACTCGGCACACAAAACTTCGGCTCGTGTCCAAAGTCTTATTGGAGAGTCTCTAGAAATAATCATACTTGGACTTACTATAATAATGTCAAGGTTGTTGGCGAGATGGTCCGGTAGAACGCGTTTGCTCACTTCCTCTTCCGGCATGCCGTCGAACCTGTCGTGCTTCTTCCTCTCTTTGTACGTCTTTGCACGTTTCTTGGCCTCTGCGAGTTCCGCTCTGAAAGAAAAAAGAATTGGATACAGAGGGCCTTAATAATACGCTGGATTCCTTTATGCTGCGTCATACGATTCAGCGAAAGGCGCGCAACTATTTCTCTCGATCGGCAGGGGACGCGGGCTTTCTGCGTTTACTTTTTGTCAAGCCGACGAACTCGCGCGCGTCTTGGACACTTCGCGTTTCGATTTGTGACACTGTAACACAATGTAACGTTCTGTATCGACCTGGGACTTGTAAGCCGTCGTGAATACGTCGCGATGAATAAGCTCGGATCTCGCAAGATAAAATGACGATGGCAAAATGCAATTTACGAACTTTACATTTTTTTTTTAAACGAGACATACTTGGATAATAAAACGTTATGAAAATACAACAAACAGTAAAAAAATTTATACAGAAAGCCATAGGAGTCAACCTCTGTGGTTGTTAAAGATATACATTTAATTAGTAATACCATATTTCGTACGTTTTGACTCCTGTTTGAGTTATCTTCAGCGTTACAACCTTAATAATTACAGCAATAAATAAATCTCAGTCATTGTCTACACAATTTTCTCTCTTTTTGTATGCGACCGTTGTGAAGCATTCGCGAAGTAAGAGCAAGTTGTCCAATAAGTAAGCAGAGTGGCGATAAAGACAACCTGAAATTTTTTTTTTAAAATCGTTAGAGAAGGTAAAAATTATAGAGGACAACAGAAATAAAAATTGTGCTTACCTCACGGAGTCAACAAGATCACAATAACGATAAGTAAGTCATGAGAGAATTGCAGAACGTCATCGTAAATTAAAATAAGAGATCCGTTCTAAATTAACATTTAGAACGGATCAAAAGCACGTCTCGACAATGTAACGTTCACTCCGATAATAAAACGCTGACATATAACATAGGGGTTAATCTTGAAAACAATAACATCTTATACTTTATTAAGTATCTCTATGTGACTTAAGGCTTCCGTGTCAGTTTGTAAATTTAAACCATTAGTTTGTCGACACATTAATGTTATATTAATATGTAACATTTCTGACATTAGATTTATTGTAAAGAATGTTATGAAAATAATTTTTTAATATTCTGGATATAAGTATTAATAAACGCGAATAAATTTTAATTAATGTGAGTTAAAGCATTATTGTGTAAATAAAAAATGTTAATTAACGTAGTTCTGCAGTGAGATGTACAATAGATGACTGACCACGCTAATCAATATATTTGCGTACGCCGTTCTTCCTTTCAAATTTTATGCTACAGTAGCGTGCAGTTTCGTAAAAAATAGGGGACGGAGCAGAATATTTATACGTTAGCATAATGGGCCTTTGTGTTTAGCCACGGGGTATTCAATTAAATAGACATACCGATGTACAACGTGTCAAGAGGGCATGAATAATTCTCTCTTAAGATCTTCAATTAACGTCTTAATGAACGCGTTATCTTCTGACGTATCTCCGTAATAGCGGCACGCATCTGATCGTGTTACGTTCCTAATATGCGGAACTATTTTTAAGTTTTCGGCCGGCTTCACAAAAATAAGCGCAACTGAAGATCCTATCGGATCAGCAACATGGTGCCCGGTCAGACGGACATTGTTAGCAGAGCGGATATTTTTAACCTTGGCTGCATGCAAATATATAACTAACTCTGGTTATATCGAGTCGCGGCTTCGTGACCGGTCCGCGTTCCTTCTCAGCTCCGCTCCTCTTTATACTCATTAACATACTTATAATTAATAATAATAATTATTATTATTAATATTTCTTTACTATAGATTGTACATTTTGAAATCAATTTTGCGAAAGTGTAAAGTGTTATTTAATATTAACTTTGACTTAATCCCTTCTGGCTATGTTGGTATAAACCATACGTGAAAATATGATTTCACGATGTTCATCCTTAAAGGATTGAAACCGTAAATGAATTTTGACATCGCGTAGTCAACTTCATACACCCGTGAACGATATTTCGTGGTGGGTTCTTACAATGTTAAATTAAAATTTTTCTTAAATAGCGTGTCTTACGGCGTACCCGACAAGCCTCGTTTTGGGCCTTGTATATAATAAATTGTCACGATTACGCAAGCGTGTAATTGAATTATAACAAAAGATACATAATTTTCGCAAAATAGCAAAACTGTATTTAGAATTTATCACGAAGTTAGTATAATCGCGGTCGTTGACAATTGCAATTGATTATATATGCTAGACTCTTACTCCTCGGGGGTGAGTATCATCTCCGACTTTTTTTTGCGGCCTCGCTTCTTCGGCTGATGCGCCAGCTGCGGATTGATGCTGGCGGTGCCGTTCATCACAAGATTCATCTGATGATGTTGTGGTCCGGACAGCGCCCCGGGCGGCGTCGACGTGGGTGTACCTAGCCCAGGTTGGGCGCCGTTCGGACACGTCATGCTCTCAGGATTGCCGCCGCCGCCGCCGCCTGGACTGCTTGCTGTCCTTATACCACCCATCGACATCTCTTCGTCGACAAACGAATATGGGTCCACCGGCGTCTCGCATTTTATCGCGACCTGGAAAAGAATGTCAGCAGACGTTGGTAGATACGTCGAGCTTATCATATTCGGCGCCGTCGTGTCCGTCGGGATAATGCAAGGATTTTGAAACTTCCGCATCCAAATGGTACGGAAGTGCTAGAGATCAAGGACGGAAGATAGGAAGATTAGAGAAAGTGTTTGACGTTTCTGTTTCTTCGTTGAATAATTCAATTTAGCGGAGCATCTTGATTCAAAATTAAAAATTCGTAAACTACATATATAATCTATAAAAAATTATAAGGCTTCAAATATTTCATGATAAATTCCGATGCGATGTTTCTTCATTGCGATATTAAGGGTAGACCATATTACCGTATTTACTGACCGAATTTCTCGCGTTTTCCTGAATAATATTATACATGCGGGCGAAAGAAAGAAAAATGCTGGCGCACTAGTCGCAGCGAATTATCCTTGTGATATCTCGAATCGCGATGACGGTTGATGTTCCAGCCTAATTTAATTCTACCTCGAAATTACGCCGCGAAATTTTTCGTCGCGTCCGCAAGTTTCGCAGGTGGTCGGTTGCGGAAAAATGAAATTTCTCCTGAGCACGTACAATCCCGACGTAAAACATGTACCGACGATCACGGACACGTACAGTGGCGATCATAAAACGTACGTACCCCAGCTAGCGCTATATGTATGTATATTTCTCTCTCTCTCTCTCTTTCTCTCTCTCTCTCTCTTTCTCTCTCTCTCTCTCTCTTCTGTCTCTCTTGATGCCCTTGGGGAAATAGTAATAGCGCAATTGCCACATGGACCGAAAATACGCGGCCACGTACAACGTATCAGCCATTCGCGGTTGTAAAATGTGCAGCTGTGTCTCTTTTTTTGCAAATTGCGCGTGTTACGGACTGACGCGATCACCGTTCTTCTCCCGTTGCATTTTTTGTACCGTCTGCTTTTTGCATTAGCTAAAATCAACTGAGGTTTCAGTGATTTTCTGCCTCTTTTTGAATATGAAATTAGAAAAAAATAGAGAAAGATTCGTAACATTGGTTACATAAGCTAATTGCTTTGGATGAGTGACAAGCTCTATAAGAATTGAATATCTGACAAGATGTGAAACGCGCACGTCAGTAATATAAAGGAGGTCAAATTATCTGGAAAGTTCCTTACGTCGATAGAGTTTTGTCGTGGCGATATTAACGAGGTTGGTATTAGATGATTAACGCGACAGGTATCCAAGTGACGTTTTGTTCCCTGACTCTTCTCGACGTTCGCGCAAAAATCCGATATCGTGGACTAAAATAAATGCTTCAAGCGCTATCCTGCCCGATGAAATCAGAAATTATTCAACAAGCCGTTATTGTATTCTGAAGGCTGTCAATAATGCGATAATTTAGCGTATCAATATTCGCATATTCACCACTCTTAATTTTAAATGTTCTCGCCATCATTTGTACATTTTAGCAAATACGGATGCAAAATATTTCGTGCAATTGACGAAAACGCAACGTCTACTTTCCGTGTCTATTTTCGTTCAGAAATATATAAGAAGAATAGTGCTTTTGCAACGAGTCGCATTTAATGTTCACCCGGGGAAAGAACCCCGTTGCTTTTTCGACGCCCACGGAAATGAAAGCATAAGAGATTACGCGAATCCGACGGAGGTTTTTTATCGCAATGCACATAAACATACCCTCGTTTGCAATTTTCGACCTGGTCTCCTGACTATATGGTCTTTCCAGTTGGCATACCCGCGCTCTTGACCCGATGATAACCCTGCGAAATCGAGGTCGAAATCCCGCGAAGATAAGAGCCGCACTGACTGGTAGTTACCGATAACGCGTTATCCCTACCCTTTTTCACAGGGCTCGGGTTTCGCTCGAAAGTCACCGACAATATTCCACACGATAAGAACATATGTGCGCGCATGCCCCATTGTTATTATTTGCAAACAAAAGGACCGTGGCGAGTGTCGCGAATGTAACGCACAGATTTGTTTTACCCGGCGATGTTAAAGCACAATATTTGCGTTAAAAAATAGGTAAATATAGGAAATTTTTATTGCGAGACATTGCGCAAAGGATGTTTATTTATCGATTTGAAGAGCCATTAATCTATACGTTTCGGGAAAATATCCGTCGCGCCGTTGTGATAATAAAAGCAAACGTACCTCTCCGCTTGTTCAACTCCTCTTTTCGTCTGTCTTTCCCAAGCAATAATTGAATTACATTTAAAAGAAAAAAATCAATTATATATAGAAAAATATATAGAGAAATCGAATATATATATATATTTCGATTTTATTAATTTTTTTCTATAAAGGTAATACAACTTTCGTGAAAGTGACGTCCCTTTTAAGCTATTCATTTCTTTGCTTGTCTCGGAATCTATACCATGAATGTCTGGCTCGTTTACGCCAGAAACAATTGGATGTCTCAGAATCTAGGGAAGGGTTAAGTAAAACAATGTGAAATAGGATCGAGAAAAGAGGAGCGTGATAATGCGAACTCGATAAATCCGGGACGTGTTCACGGTTAACAATTCGATCAACGGAAATTCGTTTCGCTCGTCGGCCGTTCATTCGTTAAAATGAGGAGCCGGTAAAACCGAGATCGATCGGTCGTCACGTCACGAGATAATTTTCGAGAAAAAGACTATCGATCCCGACAGCGGATAACAACTTTGCGGATATAATGGCAATTTAATATCGGATGAAATTTCTGTAATTCGCGCGCGATAGCGCCGATAGCCAAATTGGGGGAGCTGGGCAACCTGCAATTAATTCATGAGCGGAAAATGTGCGTTCTGATTGAAATCCCTGAAAATTACCACCGTCAAAATATTCAACCGAATCACATTTGTAAAAGCTTTTATTTTGCCAGTTTGTGATGTGAAAAAGCCAAAAGCCGTTGGAAGGATGCAATAACTCCCTTTCTGTATTTCTTTCGCAATATGTGAATTATATCTTGTGCCTCTTGATGCAGATAGATGTATATATATATATACATATATAAATACATAGATGTCACGAAGTTATTTAAATTTGCTACTTTTTGGGAAAAATTCTCTAAGAAATTAATTTATATTTTTTCCTTTCATTAATGAATCCAGTTTTCATTATAAAAATGTAACAGGATTTTTCATTGAACAACGTGAAACGTTGAAATATCATGAAATTATATTTCCACGATATTTATTAACAGAAATTTTTTCATCGCACGTTTTGCGCTAAATTTTATAATCACGTAACAATCAAAGAAATTACACAGATATAAACGTTCCCGGAACAACTCGTTTAAAGATCTTTCGCCCGCGTATTAAGTGGAAAATAAGTAACACCGCGTGCGGGGCTCATCCACGGCTTTCATTGTACCGCAACAGAGGTAATGTTGCGTAAGTAGATCGTAAAACTAACATGAAAATGCAAATCGCTGCGCGCGGCATTGCGAAAATCCCAGAGTGGCGATTGCGTGCGTCTTTATTGCAATTTATTGCTCGTAATTTTGATTGCGAGGTGCTAGATACGCCAATACAGCGGTTTCTAATGAGAATCGTCTGCGTTTTTTATTAGCTAATAAGTTTGATGTTTTACGTGCGTTTTTTTCCTTTGTACGTAATAACATATATTTTCTCGATTATCGAATATCGCTGAAGAAGAGCG